AGATCAAGACCCAAAATGGGCCCTTAGTTCATACAAACCTTTTTTCATTATGCTTTAAAGTAGAGGACTGGAGTTTGTTTTATTTGAAGAAGAACTGTTTAGTCCTTCGGATGAGGGAAGACATTTTTTATTCTTGCTCTCTTTAGTTTTGGATGGCGTCGAAACCTCAAATACCTTGAAATACCATCATAGGTTTTTCAGACAGACGAGATTTTCTGAAGGACTAGAGCCTAATTAAAAAATTTCTTCCTCTCATCCGAAGAAGAATTGATTGCCTTAATAAATGAAAAAAAATCTAGTTTTCTAGAACGAAGTATATTGAAAAAAATTTTGCGCGAAGACTGGCCATTGGCATAAAAATTAATTTTGAGAAAAATGTAAAAACTTTTTTTCTGCATTTTATCGGCCTGTCGTTAGACACCAACATGAAACATGTTGATATCGTATATCAATCACTAAAGCTAAACAAGATATATAAGCCTATGCTTTTAACGCCATATGCAGGTAATAGAGGACAGCGATATGCACGTTTTCCTTTGGTGTTTTCGGAATTTTGCCTAGGAATATTACCATAGAGAGTTTCAGAAACTTACAGTAGCTCTTTTTGAAACCTTTCAAAGCTGAAACTTTTTTATGAATCTTTAAAGTAGAGATCTCAGGTGGTATCCCTGTACACTTTTCTCAAAAATAATTTTTTTGTTGACGAAAATCGACTTTCTGGAGTGTAGCGCCTTGATTCTTGTTCGGGTCGAACATGGGTACGAAATATTGTATCCGCGCAGTACTCTATCTTGCCATACGTAAAATCAGTCGGTCAATTGTTTGTCGGATCTGATACTCAATCGATAGAATTTTTGTATTCCTAAAATTCGCCAATAAAGTATATTTCTGAATTCTATAAGTTTTATCTTTCCGATTCAAAATGGAGATCTGTGAGCTTCTGTGACGTCTGCATGGTGGCAAATTTGCGCCATACTTCTTAGTCACCGAAAGAATATTCAGACTGCTATCCATTTGAGTATTAAATTACTAAGACGAAAATTATGAATCTTGACTCGATTTTCATCAAAATTTTATCAGTGAACCACAATCCAGTAAGAACCGAGTTTTCCAAAAACTGCTCCATCTAGGAATTTTGATATCGGAAGTTGGAATCTGAGTTCCATTAACTTTAAAGCTCAATAAGTAGGTAAGGCAGTAGCAAATATTATGCTGGGGTAAAATAGTTCTACCAAAGATGGTTAGCAAAGGAATCCTTCAAATAGCTGTCTTTATAGCTTCGACAACGATTCGTAGTCTCGAAAGAATATGTCTTGACATGCTGCTATTTTTTTTCACATTCTGTTTTATCGGAGACAGTCATCAAGGAAATCTGTTGATCACTCAAATTCCCTGAACCCTAGGACTTTGAATTCATTGCTCGATCAATGAAATATGTTCACTATCCTAGTTTCAGTCAATGATGTTTCTGAATGCTGAAAGTTGAATCCATTCGTGTATCGCTGTGCGCGAGTGTGGATATGATTTTCAGTTCATTTGCGAGTGTGGATAGAGGCAACCATGGGTCTTCCAGTACATGGAATGAATGTCTGGGTGTGTGTGCGTGTGCATTTAGGTGTGGGTATCGGCTGTGGGCTGTGGGCGTGGCTCTGAGGATTGGTTTAGGTTTACATGAAGTAAACATCCACACGCACATAGTCTCCAGACCGATAACAGCTGAGCAGCCAGAATCTAGACTAGATCTAGAACAGTTTCAGCTCATACAGCTCAGACCAAAGAAGCTGATGCCCTGTTTTCACAGTACAGTTCAAATCAAAAGAACTTTAAAAAGTTTCGAGGAGTTGAGCGGAATTATTCGAGCTTTTTAGCTTAGATCAAGATCGGTTTCAATAATAACTTTCAGGAATTGACGGTCTTCAAAATCTTGTTTGCTTTTAGGACCCAAAAGTGCCCTACCATGAAACAAAACTAATACCTTTAAAATCCAGAACTATTTTGGAAAAAATTAGAGTCGAAATTTTCTGGGTACCTCAGTTCCAGCACCTGAACTGTGAAATGTTTCAACAGTTCCTGAGAGCAGAGCTGAATTGTTCGAATATATCAGCTCAGATTAGAGAGTGTTTTGAACATTTCACCAAATTCAAATTTTTAACTACACTGTCCAAGCCATAATCCAAACAGTAAGAATGTTTGATTCGTTGAATTCCTAACCTCGGAAAACCTGATTAGCCGAATTTCCAGTCTCCAAAAATCCGATTGGCTAGAATCCAAACAATAAAAACATTTCATTTGATGAATTTTCAGTTTCCAGAAACCTGATTGGCTGAATTTCTAGTCTCAAAAAATCTGATTGGCTAGAATTCAAACACTAGAAACATTTGATTGGTTGAATTATCAGCCTCGAAAAACCGGATTGACCAGTATTCAGATAGTAAAAATTGTAAATGTTATGCGTTCTCGCTCGTATTCCTGGGAACGAGAACGCAACTCGCGTTCCCATTCCTAGGAACGGAATGCAAAAGAGACACTTCTAGTCAGTGGAATCAATAGGGATCATTTAGAGTCAGTGGAGTCAGTAGAGTCAATCGGAGTCAATGGAGGTCGCTCAGAATCAATGGTAGTCACTTAGGGTTAGTTGGCGTCACTCAGATTCTCCAGTGACTCCAGCTGACTCCAGCTGACTCCAGCTGACTCCGCTGACTCCAACTGACTCTGCTGACTCCAACTGACTCCAGCTGACTCTGCTGACTCCCATTGATTCTATTGACTCCGATGCTTCAGAGTCAGCTTTTTCCCCCTTGTGTATAACTCTCCAACGTGAAGGTCACATGATCCAATCATGGCCACAATGACTATATAAAGATGGATGAACCGTTACACATTCATTTTAAGTTCGAATTTGGTTAAAGATGAATATACATTGTATTGTTTTTTTCAAAAGAGGAATATAAATATTTTTATTTTCATATATAATCCTTCGAAATTAACTCAGTTTTATTTTAGACATTTAAAATCTTATTGATTTTATTTAATTATTTTTTATTTCGTCGATTGTTATTTTTAACTTTTTTGATATATTTTAAATAAAATGAATGATATTAATTCCTTTATCCATTTTAAGTCAATGTGGAACAAAATTAATTCTATTTATTATTTATATTTTAATTTATTGCAGTTGATTGAAATTAATCTAATACAATTATATATTTACAACACATATAAAATGAAATGAATCAAATGGAAGTATATTTGTTTTATTTTAATTTTAATTAAAACAAATTTAATCTAATGAAATTATGGTTTATTTTTTTAAACAAAATGATTTAATCTGTTAGCATTGTTTTTATTTATATTATGATGAAGTGAATTAACCTAATGTAATTTCTGTATTTTATTTTAATTAAAGCAAGACCGATGTATTACAGTTATTTATTTACAATTAAAATAATGTACAACAATTTAATTTAAGAATACTTTTTTTCAATTTAGATTATACTTATTTCTTTATTGTAGGTTAGGTTTACGATTGAAATAAATCAAAATGAATTAGTTTTTTTTATTCCGATTTATTTATTTTTAATTTCAGATCATATTCACAAGGAATTTAATATACCTAAGTTTTTTTGAATTTAAATTATTTATTTATTTTTATTTAGATCAATCAGTCGATCAAACTCAAAATATTTTTTTTCTGTAATTTTTTCACTTGTGTGTTACAAGTAATCATTTGTATCTTTTGTTCTTTTGTAATTTTGATGAATGAATAAATATATGCATAACTCGAGATCAAATATCTTCTTGAAACGATCGAGCGTATAGAAGTCAAAATGGGTCAGATTAGCTATACAATGCTCTATGAAGCTATGGAAAATCATATATGATTCATTTAAGATCGTATAGTATCTTACATAAAGATCATACAGGAATCGTATAGTAAGATTGTATCAGAAAGGATGGCTTTACGATTGACGTACAAAATCGTACAAGATCATATGCGATGTTCATATGATCTTGTATGATCATAGAAGATCATACAGTATGTTCCTATATGATCTTGTAAGAATCGTATAAGATCTTATACTTGGATTGTTTGACCTGGGCAGATTTCGAGATTTTTAATCAATTTTAATTACGATAACTATAAAACGTGTTTTTCTCCAATTTTAACTTTAAAACTCGAACATTTAATGCTTTTTCTTCGACATATGACATCAATTCATACATACATTCGAATATTCAGAGCTCTTACTGTATTTGATGTTTGTTGCGAAGATATCCATCACGGCTAAAAATCTATCGCTCGTGCACCCTTAATGACATTCCAAAAAATGTTCTAAAAATCACTTTTATTAGGGAATTGGTTTAGTACACTTTTGTTGCTACTATATAAGATTCAATCAGTCATAAAGTGTTACATTCGTGAACACCGGAATCCTGCATAAGTTTATGAAATTTGACAAGTACTACTAAATAAAGTTGCCATTAATACCATGAATATCTCTGTTTGTTTAATCATAAAACCAACTTATTCGAGTGACAGTTTAACAGGTTGACTAATTTGATTTTACTCTCGAGCAATTATAAAAGAGGTAATGTTTTATTTGTTGTAATCATTGGAACGAAATAGTTTGTATTAAGATTCAAGTACTAGTGGATATGATTTTATTCGATTCTAATCGGAGCTTTTCGGTATCTATTCAGCAGTTTTCTTTTGTTTATTTCGAATAATTTTAAAATATGAGTTTTAAATCGAAATGAGAAATATTTTTCCAAAAAAAAAATGCAAAATAAAGTAGATTTTGATCGAGAATCAATGAAATAAAAAAATCGATCAATGACAAAGACAGAAAAACGAAAATGAGTATTTATTCATAGAGTAAGAAAATTACACAAAAGCTCTTTTTTTTTCTTAAATAAATAAAGATGATTATTTTGATCATTGACCGATTTTTAATAGTTCGTTTCAAATTTGAATTATACATATCGAAAACAGTGTAACATTAGAGCCATAGATGAACACTCCACCAATTGTCACAAAAATATTCAAAGTCAGTCAATATTGTATTCTGTTCGAGCCATTGACGTGTTGTCAGTTGAGAATTATAATCATAGAGAATTCCAAGATGACGAATCCATATATTCGATAAGGTCATCGTCATCTTGTTGAATAATCTTGATAAATCTCGAATACTTTGACGATGAAATGTAAATTGTTTCAGATGGGTAAAAGAATGCCAAAATGCATCGATTTCGGCCGATGATAAATATTTAGAAGACGAATCAAAAGTATTGATCTTCATGTTAAGATCAATGATTTGTGGCCAATGTCGATCAAAAAGCAAGACGAGAGTTGAGATATTTAAGCAAAGAGAACGTAAGTGTGGAAGGATGTGAAGAATGTGTACAAATTCGTTACCTGATTGTTCCTTTTCTGATCTACCTTGGACGAAACTAGTGATTCGTGATAAATCAATACAACTGTTAATGAATTTAAATGACAAGTCAAGATTATCTTCCATGAGTAATGTATAAATATGAGTGAATCGACATAAATGTTCTTTTTGCATCGGTAAATTCCAATCAAAAATTAGATATTGAGTATGTGGAAATATCATTGGTACTAATCCAGTTGATTCGGTCACTAATGCTTTTTTCATAAATGTTAATGGATAACGATACTCTGTACAACATGGATTTGTATATAGAAATGAAACTGAAGTATCAATCCATTGATCAAATGTTACAAACCATTTCTTTTCTTCAAGCCAGAATTGTGTACGAAAAGAATCAAGATCAATATTGTCTTTTTTTGAAATTCTAAACATGAACTGAAATACAATCAATCTAGTTAACAATGGTATCCATGCATGACCATTAATTAGATCACATTCTGTTTCATTAACATGAAGAGTAAGATGGGTAAGACATATTATCGATGAAAGCAAATGTTTAATCTCGAGCATAGTTATTTGATTGATGGTGATCGACAGTTGTTGTAAATAGAAAGGTGATTGAAACATCATATCGTCGTAAATAGGTTGATGAATAAGTAACTTTTCATTGAGTTGACGTAGCATTGGTGCGACAACAAGGAGTGAATACAAATTAATCTGAATACCTGTTAATGTTAAACATTCAATATTAGATGTTTGCAGTAAAAAAGAAGATGACGAAATTGTAATTGTTTCATATCGGCTAGATGTATTGAGAAATAGACGTTTTAATGATCGTACTGTGAATAGAAGATCATGAAAAATAAACGACGTCAATGTTGATACTGATTGTTTTGAATCATCAACATGACCGATCGATATTGATCTTAATGCAATAAATGACGGAAGTCGAATTCGAATTACATTCCAAATATTTGAATCGATCTTATTGAGAATAATCGAATTTAAATTCGAAAAAATATCAGCTACATTAATGGAACATAAAAAACGGACACTTTTTGCATTTGATATTGTATCATTGTGATTGTCAGAGGTCAATGAGTCGATGCTAGGGGTGTCGTCTTAGCATTAGTATTGCATTAATTAATACTATTTTTAATATTTTTGTATTAAAGTTAAATAACTCAGTTAATACTTTTGCATTAGTCTTAAAAAAATAACTTAATGCTTTGGTATTAGTGTTAACTTTGTATTAAGAAAATGCTAATACCTATCATGATCATGCAATTAGTTGATGGATCTATCATTGTAGTTCTACCACTAGCTTCCCTATAGTTGAATTTTCTTTGTAACATTTCTATACAGAGAAAATGTTATGCATGCAACAGGATGACAGACATGTACATTTATAGTTCTTCAGAAAACATAAATAATTTTATCAAATATCGATATTGTAAAAGGAAAACTCAATCCATGCGTCATTTAGAACGGAAGCATCGAATCAAGTTCTAAGGCTGTCCATTCGATAGATCCCGTTGAGATGTACTTGGAAAGTTATATATCTCATGAGGGAACATATTTAACTGTCAAATCGCTTTTGAATCGGGCATGTGCGCAAACGATAGACCTCAATGAGTTATTAAATGTCCTAGAATGGTTTGGTTTTCCAGCCTTCTGTTGTCGATTTATGGGCCTTTTACTTGATCTTGGCTTATGTGCATAACATTCTTCTGGGTACCTGAATGATCGAATTTCAAACTGAAATTTTGCCCACAGATAGGCCTTATAAGCACCAGAAACTTTCCAAAGTTTGAGCCAGAACGAACGGATCCTTATCGAAATATCAGCTTGTCATGAAAATGTCTCTGTTTTGGAACACAGCTCAAAACAGGCGTTTCTTTAAAATGTGAGTACCTCGATAAGGCTATATTCATTCTGGCTCAAACTTTGGGCAGTTTCTAGTGCTTATAACGCCTATCTATGGGCAAAATTTCAGTTTGAAGTTCGATCATTCAGGTACCCAGAAGAATGTTATGCACATAAGCCAAAATCAAGTAAAAGGCCGATAAATCGACAACAGAAGGCTGGAAAACCAAACCATTCTAGGGTATTTAATAACTCAGTGAGGTCAATCGTTTGCGCATATGCCCGGTCCGAAAGCGATTTGACAGTTGAATATGTCCCCTCGTCAGTTGAAAAGTACTCCCGGACGAATCGTTTCGGGTTTTATTGCAACACTGAAGAGTTGGGCTCCGGATCAGACGTTTTTCTGGGAAGGAAAGCATCGAATCAAGTTCTAAGACTGTTCATTCAATGGATCCCATTGAGATATACTTGGAAAGTTATATATCTCAGTTGGAAAATACTCCTGGACGAATTGGTTCGGGTTTTATTCAAACACTGAAGAGTTGGGCCCCGCATTAGGCGTTTTTCTGGAAATGGAAGCATCGAATCCAGTTTGAAAGGTATCCATTCGATAGATCTCGTCGAGATGTACTTGGAAAGTTATATGTCTCAGTTGGAAAGTACTTGTAGGTGAATCACTTCAGGTTTTATTGAAAAAATGAACAATTGGGCCCTGGATTAGACGTTTCTCTGCGAAGGAGAGTATCGAATCCAGCTCCAATGGTGTCCATTCAATAGATCTCGTTGAGATCCATTTGGAAAGTTATATGTCTGAGTTGGAAAGTACTCCTGGGCGAATCTCTACAGGTCTTAGAAGAAATCTAGGGATGGGACCTGTGATTGACCGGTTTTCAAGGGAAAGGTTTGTCGAATTGAGCTTCAAAGATGTCCATTCGATAGATTTCGTTGAGATCTACTTTGAAAGTTGAAGCATTTTGCTGGAAAATGCGTCTGAGCGAATCGCGACAAGTATTGTTTAAAAAAGCTGGTTTCTGCTACGGATTGGAGGTTTTGAGGGCGAAAAGAGCATGGAATTGAACACCAAAGATGTACATTCGATAGAGTGCATCAAGATCTACCCGGAAACTCAATACTTAAGTTGTAAAGTATTCCTGGACGAATCACGACAAGTTTTTCATGAATTGTTTACATTTTACACGGTTTTTTTATGGTATTTGGGGATTTTCTCGGTTTGAGGATGGGAGGGGGGCTAAAAAAATGAATGGTATGGTTGGATAGAGCTCGTCGAGCTCTACTTGGAAAGTTGTTGGACTATTTTGGAAAGTTTTTTGGAGCGAATTCTTTCAGGAAATACTCGAATCATGATCTAAGATATTCTACGTGAATTTTTTATGTGAATAATGATGACTATGAAATAAAGCACTTGTTTAACACTAACTTCGTTCTTTACAACAGACGAACTAAACCAGCGAAACTATTAAAAAGAAATAACATTAACAAAGCATAACACTATTAGTCGTTCTCTCTAGTTTGATTTATGATAAGTTGTCGAACAAGTGACGCATAGTCTTTTCTTTTCTTTTGCCTTCTCTTTCTGCATCAAAAGAATATAAAGAAATATCAAACAGAAAATGTGTATAATATATTTTTTTCTTCTCCATTGTATTAAGTGTAATCTGATGAACTAAGTAGATATTCAGTACATAATGGCTTTTTCAAATGCCATCATAGACAGAGATGTAATCAACTAATGTTCAACAGATTTACCGTGTTTTCATTTATATTGATAATCAAATCTACAGGGCTTAATTCAGATAATTACATTTTATTGAAGTGATACATGAAGTGATCCTACTGAAATGAATTTTTGTGCTCTATAACTGTGGAGAAGGTTAGAAGCAGCACATACTATATAAACATTTACAGAATAATAATCATGATAATGAAAAAAGCTGTTAGCGCAATCCCTTGCGGGATTAAAAATGTGAAACACGATGTACCTGCTGTTGCCAATCTAATAAAAATTGTTCTTTTTTATGCATATTGGTGTACATTTCTTCATCGTGGCTTACTTTACATTATAGAGCTAAAACAGGATAATATCCCATATATGCTCCAATCATGTGTTAGTTATGCATTATCTCTGATACTTCCTTGAACTCTTCTTTCACAGTCTATGATGACCCCTGGAGCTTGTCTGTCACGGTCTGTGATGGGTCCGGAGGTTCTCTGTCGCGGTCTGTGATCGGCCCGGAGGTTCTCTGTCACGGTCTGTGATGGGTCCGGAGGTTCTCTGTCACGTTCTGTGATGGGTCCGAAGGTTCTCTGTCACGGTCTGTGATGCGTCCGAAGGTTCTCTGCCACGGTCTTTGATGGTCTCTGGAGTTCTCTGTCACGGTCTGTGATGGGCCTTGAGGTTCTCTGTCACGGT